TCCCAACATCATGTTTCCACCCTATACTCTCCCTTCCTGTGATGAAATCAATGCTCTGAATTTAGTCTTTTATGTTCTCCTATACACATTTATTTTATAAGCATATGTCCATAAACAGAATGATGTTTTGTACATTTCATTATATTATTACTATTATTGCATATGAGAAAGTTTTTTTTATAATTTTTATTCTTTTTCCTGTGTGCATAAAATTATCACTTTTTACTTATTTTCTCAAGGAAATTACCTGGGCATTTTTGTCATTTAGCACAAGAAAGAATTATTTACTTTCATCTGTAATTACTTTTTTGAACTCCACTTTAAAAAGAAAGCATTTCTAAGAAGATGCATTACAAAGACCCAGTTATTTAATTTCATCTTAGTGAGAAATGTAGGGATAAGATCTTCTGCTTGGATTCAGATTTGAAGAGTGATTTTTGGCCAAAATCATCTGCTCTGTGTGTATGGCATGATTTTCAGTGGATACGTAAGGTTGTGTAATTACATCTTGGACTTCTATTTACAGGGTAGTCATTAATAATGATACTCCTCCTCAGCCCAGAACCAATGTCTGTGGCTTGCAAGATTTTTATTAGGTTGAAATACACTGGCAACAACTGCACTGTAAGGGTTTATGGAGATGCACTCTGAATAAAGCAAATTTTATCATCATGGAAGTAGAAATGTTAGATTGATAGTTTCAAAAACATCAAAATAACTTCTTTCTAAAATTCAGGCCATAGAGAGAGGGCATAAAATTTCCATGAAACATCCATTGTGTTTGCTTCTTTTCAAGCACTGTATTATGGGATGGTAGATGGCTGTTTCACAAATAAACATATAGAAATTCATATTCTGATTTCAGTGGATTATTTCTAAAAATTACCATATGGAGAGTAACACTCAGTTATTTCAACAAATTATATACTTTATGTCGAGTCCAAGAATTCCCAAGAAGTGGGCCTTTTGTGTTTACAACATGTTGTTTTCTGGTTGTAAATTTATTCTGAGGACATCAGCTTATACTTGTGAGAAAGTATGGATTTGGAAGCTGGGAGGGAATTTTGTAGCTTGATTCTCCCTCCAAATATGAACCTGGTGATAAGAATCATTTAAGCATCCTGGAAACAGGGTCACCCCATGTTAGTACGTAGCAAATGTTTGCTATGGGTTAATCAATCAGTTTGATGGTTTCAGACTGGCATTTTAAACACTCACACGAAATCAAGTAAAAACATTTTAGGTCATTATAATTACATGTAATTTTTGTTATAGAGCATGTGTATATGTGTCTATATAACTGCTACCAATTTCCTTTTTTAAATTGAGGTATATTTGGTGATAAAAATACGTAGTTATGCTGTACAGCTGAATGATTTTAATATACAGATACTCCATTAAATAATTAACCATGCCTTCATCATCTGTGATAATTAGCACTTGCATGTGAAAGAGTGTATGTGTGTGCACACCTGTGATCCTTGACAATTTCTAGAATACACCGAAGCCTTTAGTCCAAGTCACAGTGCTGTGCGGTAAGTGCTGCCCTTAGGAAGAAGGTCAGCGTCCCCGGCCTTGTAAGACGGACCCGTCATGAATCCTGCCTCCAGGGCCGTCAGCACACCCCTGTCTCCACAGTAGCACATTATGTCTCTATGCATCACTTGTATTTTTCACTCTATCTCAGACACTCTCAGCATTCACAAAACATTATCTTTGCTGGACCCTTTTCCTTACCTAACTTTTCTTACAGATTTTCCCACCCCTCCTTTTTGCCCTGACAATTATTCACCGGGTTATTCATAGCACTGTATAAACTCTCTTGCATTTAATAATGGGTTAATACAAATATCCTCACCTTAAAAAACTAGAGATTTTAAAAGAAGGCTTGCATATTGTAAGAATTCAGTTTATTTTCCCATAAATATACTGTGTTCACAATTGCTTTTTTTGGTGATTACTATTTAAAAGCAATGCCTCTGTGTTTTAAATGGTATGTAAAGGACATTATTTTTTTTCTAAAACATACAACCTAAAATGACAGCTGTTAATATTTACGTTGATATCTCACCATATATATACACACATATATATATACACATACATACATTTATGAAGTTAAATCTATCTATCTATAGAAATGTCTATCTGTAAATAGATAAATACACAGGTAACATAGACATTCATACAACATAGAAAATGTTGCACAAATAAATTAGTAAGCTTGACCAGTGTTCACTTTTCAGTGATTTCAAGGGTACATTATATATTGGTCATGCACCTGTACATAATTCTGATTAATGAATTACCCCCAATCCATTTTATCACCATTTATCAACATCAAAAGCAATAATGGTAGTTCTCACTTCTTTTTCTCAGATGTTATGAGCATAAATTATTCTCACTTTTTTGATTAACAGAGTCCTTATGGTTTTATTTATTTTTAAAGTTTTTTCGGAACCCGACGCAATAGCTTGGTGGTTAAATTCCTCACCTTGCATGCGCTGGGATCCCATATGGGCACTGGTTCTAATCCCAGTAGCCCTGCTTCCCATCCAGCCCCCTGCTTTTAGTCTGGGAAAGGAGTTGAGGACTGCCCACAGCCTTAGGACCTTGCACCCGCATGGGAGACCTGGAAGAATTCCTGGCTCCTAGCTTTGGATTGGCTCAGCTCCGGCTGTTGGGGCTGCTTGGGGAGTAAACCGTCAGATGGAAGATCTTCCTCTCTCTCCTCTTCTCTGTATATCTGCCTTTCCAATACAAATAAATAAATCTTTTTAAAGGAAAGTTTTTCAGGGCATTCCCACATTCAGCTTCCTTCCCTTGATCTTATGCTGTGTCCATTAAAATTTCTGTGTTTCAGAATGTCTTTTACTTAACGGGATAACATTTTTAGTGAACACATGTTTTTTATCTTATGAGAATATTCTCTAATTACATAGTACATACTTTAGTTTGTCAGCTTTCCTCCTTTAAGACTAATACCTTGGAATTATGCATACATTCAGTGTGGATATTTCAAATCTCACCTTGCTAACCCAAGGTCCGTATCTAAACTCTACCTGACCTTTATGCTGTGGCCATGAACTCAAATGAGAAGATGACTGATTTTGAGCCCATTGCCTCTTCACCAAATGCCCCCCTCATTGGTAGTTGGAGATAACTTTTATAGCTCATAAGGCTACTTCCTGTATTCTTTTAATGCTAGAGGAAAATAAAAAAAACTAGTACTTAGATTATTTTGCTCAAATTAAACATCAGGTTCAGATTTGAAAATTACTATTTAAGGCAATTTGGGTTTGTTTTTGTGATCAAAGTCAATAATATAAAGATGTTTCATCAAGTGTGTGAAAAATGAAAATACAGGTTTCTTAGGTACAATTTTTGAAATCCTAGTACAATTTAATCACCAGAATAATTTTCAGAAACTTTTTGTAGACTTGTTCCAAGAACATTTTAAAGTACACTCGTGTGGTTTCTAGTTCTTAGCTATGTTCTCTGTTTCTAACATCAGTGAGGACTCTGGAATTCATCATTTCTAACCTTTAGCATTTAGTAGTAGAGTTTATTTTCATACCATGCATATCAATTCATCCACTCACTTATAAAAAAATTATTGGTTTTATTTGCATAATAATCACTATATCAGTTTTCTTCAAATTTCATGTTAATATGATATCAATACAAAGAGAACAGGTTCAGTGTAGTTCATAGCTACAATTCAAAAAATGGTATAACAGGACTTTGTCCTTCTGCCCCTCCCTCCTTGTCACTCTCTTTCCTTCCTTTTTGCCCTCCCCTCCCCTTTGCTGCTTCTTTTCCCATCCTCTACACTTGTCCTCTCCTCTCTCCTCACACTTCCCTTCTTTCCTTCTTTTCTTTTAGTTTTTGCAATAGTATTTTAAATTTAGTTTTTAGCCAAAGGCTTAATGTTCCACTAAATCTGAAAAAAAAAAGTTCTACAAGTAAAAATTAAGACTGTGTAGTTCAGTGGGGATATGGGACATAGTTATAAGCAATAATAAAAGGAAAATAATGCCTATTTTATAAGTTTCCATTACTGTATTATAACCTTAAATTCGGCATCTCCAATTCTGAGAGGTATTTGTGCAATTTTACTCTATGTTTAATACACCTTGTTAAATGTAGGCACTTATTACCTATGACATGCCTAGTGTCCTTTTCTGGTCTCTGCCCAAACAATCTGTCATTAACCATGGCCAGCTATTGTTCCTCTTTCCATGTTGCACCTGTCCTGGTTTATAACAGTGGTTCTCAATCAGGATAGATTTTTCTATCTGGGAATATTTGGCAATAACTGTAGACCTTTTTATTGTTGTACTGGGAAGTGTGCTTCTGACATGTGAATGATAGAGTTCAAGGAAACTGCTGACACCTTGTAATATACAGTTAACAGCACCTCCTTACAAGAGCACAATGCTATCTGATGCACAATGTCAGTTGTACTGACACTGTGGAGCTTTGCTGTATAGAAACTGACTTCATGTTTTAAAACATATCCCATACGAAAACAAAACCACGCCATCTCATCCACCTAACCCCTCCTCCAAACTCAACTCCACTACTCACCAACCTACTCCCCCCCCCCCCCCCCCTCAAACAAACCACTACACACTCCACCCACCCATTGCAATTTATAAAATCAACCCTACCACCCCACAACTCCACAACCATCCCCCTCACAAAAACAACCATCACCCCCACTACACCTAATCCACTAATCCCCCCCTCCAACTCGCCATTTACCACCATTCCCCACAAAACCCCGAAAACCCACAACCCCCCGGCCAACCCCCCCATCGCCCTATAAACCCCCATCCCAAAAAGTTACAAAGCCCCAACCCAGAAGCAAACAGACACCCAACCTTGACCCCCTACTGATCCTCCCCGACTTAAACCAAAAATAACCTACCATACCGAACACCAAGCCCAAACCCTCAATAACCCGCCCATCATACGAAACCCGGATAACAATAAACTCTCCTCCAATCACCGCCCAAAAAAAGAAAAAATGTGGAAATCATGTGGCTGGCTGCAACGGTAAGCACTTCCATCTCAAATCCTGTTCCTCGTCACATTAAGAGTGGTGTTATCGGTTATGTGCTATGCGAGAGAGAGCTACTACAATTTCAGTTAGCAGATGTCCTCTGTTATCAAGATAATTGCATATTTCAATCTTGTTGATAGTTGCGCTGACAGATAAGAACATAACTTGAAGGAAGATATACCAAACAAGAAATGTACTTAGTAACTGTTCTTTCAGCCCAGGGTATATTTGTCACTCTGAGTTGAAGTGAGTGCTCTGCATTTCCCTAGGGTTTTAGGTTGTAATGCTAGTTGACCCTGTGAACTAGAATTTTGAACTGCTGATCTGCAGCCACGTAGTTTCGTTGAATATAGTTACCACAGCTCTGACTTAGAGCTTCAGTAATGCTCCTGGACATATGGTTCAGTTAATGAGCTTATAAATGTGTCAGTTAACGTAGAAGTTGGCAAGGGATTTATTACTGACTGTTCTTAGAAGGGAATGGGTGTACTTTGTATGATTCTTTCTTCCTTATTGGTACCCTTAGTTGAAAGATCTGCCTGCATTTCCACAGAGGCTTCTACAAAAGTTACTGAGAGAATCAAGCCTGTGCTTTTTGAGTCCTGACATGGCAACCATTGGACCTTTGCTCATATGAAATAGATGATTTTTGTAGAATATCTATATCCTAAATCCTTTTATAAGGAACATGTCTTTTCATCAGAAAGGCATAAAATGGACATCTTTGTGAAGAATGTCGTGTTCGTAGTTTCCACAATGTTAAGTCTTATGAGTTGGAACTCAGTCTATTCATTTTTGGGCAACAGTATTTGAAACAGCTTTTTCCCTACCATCAGCCACTCTTAATAATAAAATATTATTTACTGCCTTCTGCAAAAGAAGAATGAAAAAGTTGCCATAAGGTATAGTAAAAACTAATTTAACAAGACCAATGAAGAGGAAAGATGCTTGAGTTACTCTACATGCAGTTCTGGAATCCTAGGGAAGAACATCAAAAGGAAAATTATGAAACACTTCTTTTTTTTTTTAAAGATTTATTTTTATAATTTTTTTTTATTGGAAAGGTGGATATACAGAGAGGAGAGACAGAGAGGAAGATCTTCTGTCCAATGATTCACTCCCCAAGTGAGCGCAACGGCTGATACTATGCCGATCCCAAGCCAGGAGCCTCTTCCGGGTCTCCCACGCGGATGCAGGTTCCCAAGGCTTTGGGCCGTCCTTGACTGCTTTCCCAGGCCACAAGCAGGGAGCTGGAAGGGAAGCGGGGCTGCTGGGATTAGAACCGGCGCCCATATGGGATCCCGGGCGTGCAATGCGAGGACTTAACCACTGCGCCACCGCGCCGGGCCCATGAAACACTTCTTTAAGGCTTTTTGCTTCACTGTTCAAATTTAGGACTATTCTGCATTAGTGTTCACTTAATAGTTCTTTCCTTCATTATGACTCCTCTTTGTATCGCTATAGACTAATATGGTGGTTAATTTTTTTTCTAATTTCATTTTATGACACAGTTTCATAGGCTCTTGGATTCCCCCAACTCCTCCCCAAACCCTCCCCCCATGGTGGATTCCTCCATTTGTTGCAGTAGTACAGTTCAAATCCAGTCATGATTCCTTCATTGCAAGCATGTACCATGCATAGAGTGCAACATCTTATTGTCCAGATAAATTCAATAGTTTTTCGGGAAGACCATCCCTGATCTGAAAGTAGAGCTGGCAGAAGAGGATGAAAAGCCCATCCAAGGAAAACCCACAGCGTAACATCAACAGCAATTTACAACATTATGGTGTTAAATGACATGGTATTGAGTGACCAGTGTGATAGAAAATGCAAGTTCTTACCCACCTCCTGTGACTGCTTCATTGACTTTTCTTTCTTTTTTTTAATTAATTTTATTGCATTATGTGACACAATGTTAAAGGCACTGGGATTCTCCCCACCCCTCCCCGAAACCTTTCCCCATAGTGGATTTCTCCACCTTGCTGCATTACCACAGTTCAAATTCAGTTGAGGTTCTTTCATTGGAAGTATTTACCAAGCATAAAGTCCAGCGTCTTATTATCCTAGTGGGGTCAACAATTTCTTGGTGAGACCATCTCTGGTCTGAAGGTAAAGCTGGCAAAGTATCATCCCAATCAATTAGAAGCTCCGACATAACATCAACAACCATTTACAACCTTATGGCATTAATTGATATGGTGTTGATTAACAATATGTTAATAAGAAATTGCGGGTTCTTAACTACATCCTGTGCCTTTTTCATAGATATTTCAATTTTTAGTTTGTATTCAACCGGATACCATACACCTCAAAATGGCTATACATTACTATTCAGATGTCTCGTCTATTTTTATTTTAGTATTTAGCTGTTTATCATCAGTTTAGGTACAGAACATTTTTTAGGATGGGTGTGCAGAGAAATCCCCAATACCCCAGTGAGGCGTAACTAATCTTTGTGTCCCACCTAGTGAGGTATGATTGAGTCCACGCTGGCCATTTCCTGTTTGATTCCAAGCTTTCCTTTTTGTTGTCTGTCCATTCTAGGTTTTTTGTTGGTTTGTATGTTTGTTCATTTGTTTCGAGGGGTTTCTGGAGCGATCCTAATGATCACCGCAAGGGAGGGTGGGGACCCAGAGCCGGAGCTAGGCAAGGACTGGAGAGAGCTTGCCTCCCTAGTCCCAAAGGAAGTTTATTATTCTTCTGTTTCTGCAGACCGCTCAGGGCTCCTGGTTGTCGTTCCGATGACGCTGATTTCTGTACGGCAGAGTTTGGACTTCTTCCATCCCCTGTGGAGGCTCCAGATGGGGGTGGGTGACCTCAGAGTTCTCGGCCTCTAAAGGCACTCCTATTCCCCGTGGTCTCCTTGGCAGTTGGGATGTAGTCCTTGGTGTCCGTACTGAGAGTCCTGTAATCTATAAAACAACAATTAATGTGAGTCAGAAAACTTATTATCTAAATCAAAGAACTGTAAAACCTAAAACACTCTTAATACCCTATGTTACTCGGTCCTGGGGAGGGAATGCAGGAAATCTTCCATCTCCCTAAAAAGTGAGAGGAAGACATGAAATATAGCCTATCAGGATCAAACCTGATAACCCATAGATAACAGACTCGAGTTGGCACTAGACAATATAGTAAAGCTACACAGGCAGAAGTGGGGAATCGGGAGCGAACTTGAAAGCCTCTTAACAGGAAGTCATGCGTATGGAACTTGGGGGGCGGGGGGATCCCAGATTGGAGCGGGTGGACAGGAGGAGGCTCGTATCCCAACCCTGAAGACTCCCAGATCCACACCAAGCTTCATTGACTTTTTAATTTTAGTTTATATACAACTGGCTGCTATACACCTTAAAATGGGTATAGGGTACTATTCAGCTGTCTTGTGTCTATTTTCATTTTTATATTTATCAATTTATAGTATTCAAGCCTAATTTTTACTGAACTTGGCGAATTTTAGAATAGTCCAAACTGGCTTAAAACTCTAACGAGCCATATGTTAACAATTGAGGCGCAGAACAGTTTTAGGATGGGTGTGCAGAGAAATATTCAATGCCTTATTGAGGAGTAACTAATCTTTGTGTCCTACCTAGTATTGTATATGTGAGTACAAACTTCCTTCAGGACTTGGGAGGGGAGCTTTCTCTGGTCCTTACTTAGTTCCAACTTTGCTTTCCCACACTCTTGCAATGACCATCAGGGTTGTGGCAGAGGCTCCGTCCCCCCACCACCAAAAAAATTAAATCAGATAGACAGAGACCATTAGGGAAAGCTTAGAACCAGACAGGAAAAGCTTAGAACCAGACAGAAAGTGGTCAGCTGTGGAGGCTAATTCTTACCAAGTTTTTGAAACAAGTTGTTAGTTTTTTTCCCCCATTTAATTAATAGCATGAAAGTAGCTTGGTTGTTTACCAAGGCCATCTGACAATTTAGGACCAAAGAAACATCTTCATACATGCATATGTCTTAATATATGTAAATAGAGAAATTAAGGGCATACACATACAATCACAAAGCATATATTCTTTTGCAGTTTACTGTTTTCCCATCTATATATTAAATAATTTCTCAAAATCCCATGCTTTTCTAACATACTTTTTCAATATATGCTCTTATTAAATATGGTTTATGGTATACCATTAGACTGGATGAATAAGTTGGTTTTAAATCTTACATTACATAAAAGAACTTAAGGTGAAGAAGTATAGAATTTTATGTGTTCCAGGAAGTCTTAATCTCTGTTTCTATTTAGTTTAGTGTGTGTCTAATAGGGATGATATGTTGATATATTCATTGTTGTTTTTTAAATAATATAAATAGTCCTGTGAAAATTCATACCAAAATAGAGGATTCCCAGAGTAGCTAAAACAATCTTAAACAACAAAAGTAAAGGTAGAAAATACACAATATCAGACATCAAGATATACTATAGGGAATTTGTGATCAAAATATCCTAGCATTGGCACAAAAATAGATATCCTTATCAATGGAACAGAATAGAAATGGGTAGCAAAAAGAAATGTAGAAACAATCTATGGAAAGCTAAAATGAATTGGACCTTAGGTTTACGTGGAATTGCATTTGCATCTTAGTTCTGCGTAGTTGTGTGAAATGTGCTTGACCTAACTAAATCTACATTTCCTCACCCATCATGATAACAAGTTTGGATATTTTGTGTGATATTGAAAAGTGGTTCACTTATCTTATGAGGATTTATGTGGATGTTTAAAATCTCATCACTTTAGGGCAGTAGTTTGGCCTGGTGAATGAGCAACCAGTAAGGATGATCATAACCTCTAGAAGAATGCTATAAAAAACTATGTTGAAACTGAGTAGGACTGGCTCATGGAACCCCTGGTATGTCCAAAATCTGGCACTGGGAGGGGTTCTGATGGAGGAGCCTGGGCAACTCCTCTGGCAGGACACAGTTCCTGCAGGTAAGCGCAAGAAGCATAATAGGAAACAGCCCAGAATAGGCCATAGAAAGTTTCCCACTGGCATATATTTGGCATGGGTCAGAGGCAGACCAGGCTGAATCAGTTCACGTCATCCACTGGCAAATCCAAGCACCAGAACAGAGTGTTGGTCCAGCCAGGTTCAGTCACGACAAAAACCAGTGCACAATACGGAATGCCAAGGTAAGGTTGCCTGTAGGAGATGTGACTGCAGCACCCAACCAGCATGCCTGAGAACCAGGAAGGGAGGGGGCAGAGCCGGCAGGGGGAATAAGGCAGGGTCCCTTTGCTGGAGAGTTACTCCCACTGGAGAGCATGAACTGGGATGGAGGCAGACCAGACTAAGCAGGGCTACAACACTTGTGCGCCTCATGTGGACTAGATCAGCGAAAAGCCAGGCTAAGCTGATTATTTTTACTGGTGCAAGCATCAATTAGAGTGGGTAAGAGTTGTTTGGGCTTAGCCACAGCATCAACTGGCAAAAGCTGGCACTGGGGGCTAATTCTGTCAAGTCAAATGCCAGAACCACCTCAAGAGTACATAATCCAGGAGCGAGAGACCTGGGAGGGAAATAGTGGGCTCATCCCTCTTGGGTTACCACTCCCACGGTAGGGCACGAAAACTAGGACAGGGGCTGGGGTGGCTAGACAGAGAGGCACTCAACAATATCCGTGAGGGCTGTATAGTTGAGCCTGGTTGGGTGCAACAAAGCTTCAATACCCATTGACATGTACGAGAGCCAAGGGGGATGTGGGACAGACTGGACTAATCTGCTATGCAGACTGGCAAACCAGGGTAGGGAGCAGGCCTGGTGGGGTTTATTGCGGGTTGCTCCAACTAGGCTGCAGTTCCCACTGGTTTATGTGAGGGCTGAGTGTATGCTGGGCAGAACCAGGCTGCACTGCAACACCCATTGGTTCCAGTGGAAGTCAGGGCTGAAAGCAGAACCAACCCAGCAATTACAACCACCAGCTGATCGGGGCAATGGACTGTGCCGGACCCTGTGCTTCCTAGAACACACAAGAATCTGGTCTGGGAATAACCTCAGAGTTTCTTTGGGGATCTCCCCAATCGAAATGCTGGACTCAGAACCCTAACCAAGAAAAGATAAAAGATAGAACAAGTCAATCAACCACCTCAGCTATATGTTGGCAGTGAAATATTGGGCAAATGAAGACTCTATGAGGGACTGTGTGTGTCATTCAGGGGATTCTTCAGCGACCTCATCTGGCTTGGAGTGGCGAGATTGGTAGCGATTCATAACTGTTGAACTATCAAAATCACATGAGCAAGTATCTAAGAGCATGCCCCACATCCAGGACTTGGGGTGGGTGGGAAACTGGGTGCGGCTTCTCCCTCAATATTCACCTCTACCTCAGATGCATGAAGGAAACAATATGGAAATAATAGTCTTGCCCACTTCCCTATAGCCCTTGAGCCTTTTTCCCCTAATTAACTATGTAAAAATTGTCAAAAATATAATTAACAGGGATGGGAATGTGTGCTTGCTCGCTCTCTCTCTCTGTTGCTCGCTCACTCTCACTTTCAAATAAGTTTGTTAATCTCATAATGTAAAAAGCAAAATGAAAAACTGAATTAGATATGTAAAATAAGAGGATAAAACTAGTTAGAATTCAAATCATGTGTCCACCTCTGGGTACGTGAAGTTGTTGCTCCTGAGCTATTTACCTATAAGCATGCACTGCAGCTCCAGTAGTTTCTCAGTGGCAATTTGTCTTCTGCTGGGTCTTCCACAACTCATATGGCTTCACCACTCCCACACCCTATATATACATACAAGCATGCACACATACATATATGTGTATGTATATACATATAAATTGATTTTTAGCATTTAAAAATTTATTTTATCTTATGATTCAGCTGCATAGGTTCTGGGATCTTCCATCTCCCTTTCCATGTACCCTCTCCCCTACTGACTTCTGTCCTGGTATTGCAATGGGTAGTCAGGTTATATTCAACAGTTTCACTGGGATTCCATCTTTGGTCTGGATACAGAGAGTCATACTGATGTATGTCTCCACATCTGGGTACATCAGTCTCTGCTACATTTCTATTATACAAACCCTTAAATACAGGGCAAAAAAAAAACGCAATCTGCAACAGGGAGAAAAAAGGAACATTTGCATCAACATAAAGCTAAATTACAGAATGACCAATGTGTCACAAAAGTAATGAAAAAGAAAACAAAAAAGCTTCTTATAGAAAGTAATAGCACTGCATGAGCTATGTGTCACTGAAAAAATAACAAAACAAGAATGACAATAAAAACGAGAATATGAATATCCATGAGATGTAGCAGAAACAGTGTTGAAAGGGACAGTTACAACATCAGGTGCTTACAAACGATCAAAATATGAATTATCTATTAAGGAGTAACAAGGACTTATTGAAATAGACACTAATGAATAGGTAAAATTCACAGCAAAAATAATTGGATTTAAAGCCAAAAAACTACAAATTGAAATAAATTGAAACAGTTGACTTCCTGCAATTACCACAAATTCATGCAAACATTTAATGTTTAGGATTGTTTAGGTCACCGTTTGACAATAACCTATAAATGAATAATCAACTGTGTATGTGTGTGTGTTACAGATTTGTCGCAAACTAAATGGCATCCGTTTCACTTGCTGTAAAAGTGCCAAAGACAGGACTTCAATGTCAGTTACGCTGGAACAGTGCTCCATTCTGAGGGACGAACACCAGTTGCACAAGGACTACTTCATCCGGGCGCTGGACTGTATGAGAAGGTATCCATCTGTCTTAAATCTTGTGTTTCATTTAAGATCATTTTGAGTTTTTTTTTTTTCCCAAGCTACATATTTATTACAGGAATAAATAATTAGTAAGTTGATTATATTTCTGTAGCTTATAACTGATGGCATAAGAGATACAATTGTTTCCATATCCTCCCCTTCTCTTTTAGGACGTAAAAGAAAATGTACCCATGAACACATTTGATGATATAAATGGACAGTATTTTTCATTCGCTCCAGTTCATAAGCTCTGAATCCTTAGATGCAACACTCAAAGAGTACAGTCACTCAACAACTAAGTAGACATAAGTATGCGCGATGTACAACTAAGCCATTACCAAGACAAAGCCTTTGCAGTCATGACTGACAGATGGGCTTCCCACCGCTTATAGGGTGTTTGGGTCAGAAACCAGAAATCTACTTCCCAAAATCGTTTTCATATCATTCATCATATAAAGGAGATAACACTGACACTTAGAGTATTCACACTGCTACTCTGATGATATTTGCAATGCTTTGCCCCAAGTCATGTTTCTTGATTCATTTCTATAGTAATTAAAATCTAAGACATAATGGGAAAGAAAATGTGCCTCATTCACAATGTCCATCAGCAAGGGCATATGTTAATTAAAAAGTTAAATGAAATTGTCTTTCCTTAAAAGATTAGTTTAGAATCACATCAAGAGATATGGAGTAGGTTCCCCATTTCCAGAAATGAATGTCTAGTAGTGAACTGGAGAGGCCTGCTGCTGACCTGGAATAACTTTTACTTTCGTTTTTTTCTTTAAATTATTGCAGTCTTTTTTCAGTGGAAATGTTGGTGCTTATCTGTGTTCATTCTCAGCTTGTATGCTTTTCCACTAGGGAGAGATTTCTGTGGTCCTCTATTTCACTGCATTTCATATCTCTTGACATTTTCATTGATGAGTGAGTTCCATCAGAATTTTTTGACAAATGTCCAAGGTTGTCTTGGACTTCTGACATGAACATCTCAGCCATGTAAAGCACATTTGGTTGGTATATTCTTTTCTCTAATATAATGTCTCAGCACTAATTGTAGAAATCTGCAATCTGAGAATTAAATCCCCCAAATATGCAGGAAAGTACTGCATACATCGCTGTGGATGGTACTCAGGTGCTTGGTGAGGGGAACAGGAGCCTCTGCTATGGAAATGCAAGGTACATTGCAGGATTCATGTGACTGAACTAGCAAATTGTCTGGAAGTTTAAATAGTCACAAGTTTACATAAGGTAAGAATAAGATATTAGCCTTAATCCTAAGATATTACCAGACAAATAATAAAGTGTGCATCTCTTTTGCAGCTATTGCACTAAACCACATACTTTGTTATTGTACACAATTGTTCAGACTCTGACTTACGTCCTCAGCCAGTTGTTCATGGCATAAAATTGTTATGGGCTGATTTTTGGGTTGTAAAGTGAAATAAGGTTTCAAAAACATTATTCAAAATTGCTGAGGTTCCTAACTTCCATGTCTCCACTTCTCTGGTAATCCTCTTCTTGAGTGTTCCACTTTGTTTTAATGTTCAAATTTTATATCTATAAAGGTATCATTTTGTATACATGCAAGGGTTACATGGCAGTGTGAGGATTTGTCTCTGTGTGTATACATTTAAAAAACAAGATATGTTCTGTTATTTAACAGTTACCCTTTCTTCCTCTCTGGGTGTTCTGTTCATGCCTCAAGATGATAAGCTAATCAACTCTCGCAGCAAAACAGTGTAGTTATCAGGTTGGATTTAGGAGCCAACTGACCTGAGTTTAAATCCAAGCCAGATGTCACTTACTAGCTATTACAAAGTTCATCTCTGTTGCTTAATGCTGTAGGTAAATTAATCAGTCTCTTGATGTGTTAGTTTTGTCATATGTAAAATAGTCATGATAGTAGTTGTCACCTCTTAGAATCATCTTGAAGATTAAGTGAAGTCATAAGTGTAAAGTGATTAGAGTTCTCTTTGGCACACAATAAATTAAGATTTGCTAAATAAAGTTAAAGTCATGATATTGCCGTTCAGCTCTCCCAGGCACAGTAAAGTCTAGCTGGTTATAATTTTCATGTCCTTATGTTTATGAACACACACAAACAGTTTAACTCCAGCAGTAAATATGCTGGTCAAGCTTAGATAAGAAATCAAATCTAATATTTTACCAATTTAACAAAATAACTTTTTTATTAAATAGTGGCACCTTATAAACCTGTATATGTTTACAAATGCTGTGTATGTTATGAAAGATTACATTCAGTTGGTAACCATTTAAATAATGAAGCAAATATCTGAATGTTTTGCCACAATATCACAAAAATACTACTAGAATCTTGATTTCTTAGTGTGTATTTCCAAAGGTTTATTTACTTATTTTTTTGAAAGGCAGAATTATAAAGATACAGGGAGAGATAGAGGGAAAAGGGAGTCTCTTCTCCATGAGTTCACTTTCCAATGATATCAGTTGGGGCTCGAGCAGGCAGAAGCTAGAATCCAGGAACTTCATCTGTCTCCCACATGGATCCAGGGGCCCAAAGACTTGGCCATGTTTGGATGCTTTTCTGGGCCCTTTACCAAGAAGTTAGATTGGATGTGGGGCAACCAGGACTAGAACTGGTGATCATGCGGGATGCCTTTGCCTCAGGCAGTGGTTTAACTTGCCACACCACTAGTTCTATTTGAATATTATTTTCCTCCTCCTCCTGGTTATACTTTAACATTTTTCTGTATCAAAAGTAACCACATACTGTAACTTAAATGTACTTTGTATGTATTTAACAACTTCAAATTTGTTACTTTCAACAGAAGTTATACGAACTTAAACTTTTAGAAAACTGCCAAAACAGAGTATCTGATCAAATCCTGATATCTTGCAAAGACTACTCTAGCTTTAGAATATGAACTCTTTAATCTCTGCCTTATCCATCACATTCTCCATTATATTCAGGCATTAGGTATGGTGTTTTGTCCAGAATAAAATAAATACAAATCATAGTTGAATAAACCAAGAGAACCCCACAGAAGAATTTGTTCTGCTGGCTTCTGATGTTCAGAACAATTAAGCATCTTCTTTCTTTTGATTATTAAGTTTAATTTTAATAAGTACTTAACAGATTCATTGTAATTTATCGATATAAATATAAGAATATAATAAGATCCCTTTTTTCACTCCCTTGTATACTCTATTTTTCTCCTTTTCTGTCTCTTTTTCTCTTTCTTTTTCTAACTTTGAGATAATACATTTTGGTTTGCAGTATAATAAAGAGCTTAATACTTCACCAAATAAGTATAACAAGTAAAAACTAAAAAGGCTAACAATTCAGACAATGACTATAAACAAAATTGAATAGAAAAATCACCATGTCACTTATATTCTGTATGCTGTAAAGTGATCACATATAATCAAAACTGTAGCAGTATGATGTTGCTAATTACTGGTTTAACAAAGATATAAAAATTATATAGACTATATTCACAATGGCACTTGTACACAGACATATCTTTTATCTTATTTATTTATTTTTTATTAACTTTGCTTTTTATAGATTTACTTATTTCTATTAGAAAGGCAGAGTTACAGAGAGAGTAGAAGACATAGAGATATTTTTCTGTCCGCTGGATTACTCTCCAAATGGCCAGAGCTGAGCCAATTCAAAGCCAGGAACCTCCTCTGTGTCTCCCATGCAGACACAGGTGTCCGAGGAATTGAGCCAGCCTCAGCTTCTTTCCCAGGCTGTAAGTAGACAGCTGGATCAGAAGTGGAGCATCCAGGACTAGAACCAAAGTGCATGTGAGATGCTCGTCCCATGGGCAGACATTTAACCTGTTAGGCCACGGTGCCGGTCAACTTGTTATTTGGGGAGATTGTTTGTTTTGAATGTTAGCTACCGCATATAAGGGAATGAAGGTGGCATGGGTCCTGTGTCTGATTTACTTCACTTCATATGATGTCCTCCAGTTGAGTACATTTTGCTGCAAATGCTAGAATAATATTTTTTATTATTATTTTTCTGAATAATATTCCTGTGTGTATGTGTGTGTGTGTGTGTGTGTGTGTGTGAGTGTAGCACATTTCCTTGTTCCATTTATCCCTTTTTGGAGACTTTAGTTGATTTTAGAGTTTGGCTGTTATTAACAGTGCTGCTATAAACACAGTGGTGCAGGTATTTCTGACTTATTGGATTTAAGACTTTTGAGTGTGTGAATATGTATATTATTCCCTGATGGGATAGCTGAATCATATGATAAGTTTATTTCTGTTTTCTAAAGAGATCCCTACATTTTTTTCCATAGAGGCTACCATAATTTACATTCCCTACAATAGAGTATAAGTGTTCTGTTTACATCCTCACCAACATTCGTTGCGCTCTGCTTTGGTTATTGGTCTTTTAATATTATGTTTCCAATAGTGTTCTTACATAGCAGTTTAGCTTTGTCTACAAAGGTGACATGTACATTGCTGTAGCTTGTGGTCTGTTTATGGTGATCAGAAATGATGCTCAAATACTCAATCCAATCAGACTCCCTTCAGTGCTGTTGTGTGTTGCTCATGTGTTGGGGCATGCACCCAATGTTGTGGAATTTTACTTATCCACTGCCCTTCATTTCCAGTAGGCCCTGTTAGTATCCAGTAGGCCCTTCAGGTCATCCAGGAAAGTATGGAAACTTACCAAGGTTCTCCTTGTCTCTGGCATTTCCAAAATCACTGCCTCTTGCCTCACTGAGGACTGTGGCCTCAGGCCAGCTGTGAGACTTGCTGTTATGATTAGTCTGAAACTAATGGCAATATAAGGTTGCCAGTAGGCTTTTTACTTCTACACTGCCCTTAAAATTCCCATCAGGCCCCTTGGATAGTGAAGTTGTCCGAAACGCTCTACTGCTATGCACAATGATTTTTCTAGACATTTCTCAACTTATTGAATGATTTTTCCTGATTGCCAGGAATCTGAAGTGGTAAGTAAGCATTTTGGTGCAACTAGTTAAAAGATT